CCCCAAAACCCCAAAACCCCGTGCAAATAAATGAAGATTTTAATGGAAACTGATCTGTTAATTAATATGTACAATAAATAAATCACAGAATAAAATGAAAAAGGCAAATACTTTGGAAAATACCTTCTCCTTAGATGATACTTAAAAATCTCAAATGATCATTTCATAGAGATCATAGAGCAATAATAAAGAAATAAAAATGTCACAGGCATTTCTATTTTGAAACAAAATGCCCAGAAAACAATAATCACTGACAATTACTTCACCTAAAGCCCTTTCTAAAACTATAAATTATTCAAGGAATGTACGATTAACCTCTAATGAAAATGAATACAACTCTGATTTGGTTAAAAGGGTATTGAGGCTCAATAAATTTAATCACAAGGCTTATAATCCATCTCTTCTTAATAAACAGTGGTGAAAGCACTTTCATGAGATCTTAAATTCTAATAGAAATGATAAAGACAAACATCTTAGTCTTGATGAGATGATTAATGAATTTGGGGATAAATTCATTTCTGTGAAAAGTAAGCCTATTCATGATAAATTAAGCTCATTCAGCACTCCCAAAGAGTCCTCTGTATTATTAAAAAGTAGTGTCTCTAATTTAAATGAAGTCAAGGAGATCTAACAATACAAATCAAGCTTGAGAACTAAGAAGGTCTTTGAAAGTTTTAATTAGTAACTAGCTTCATAAGCATAGACAAATCAGTAGGACTAAAGGACTTTACAAAATTTAAAGAAAACCCAAGATTATATGTTCGATCATTTTGAGAGAAGTATGTCTAGAAAATCAGCTTATAGAGTTATCAATAAGCCAGACTATTTGAGCCATTTTAAGTATAAGAAAGACCCAGAAATAGAGCACACATTTATTGCAATAAAAAATGGGGAGTATGACCTTGACAAAGAAGAGGTATAACTGACAAAGCTAATGAAGGATATTAGAACCAAAACAAGTTAGCAAATTAATAGACAACTCAAGTAAATTGGAGTCTTAAATTACACTCCAGAGAAAAAAAGAAGATTTTAATCGCACTATTCAGATTAAGATATGATAGGAGAATACAAGTGGTTTGATACTCATCATCAAGAATCTCGAAACATAAGAACATTTGTGGTTTAAGATTAAAAATACTTGACACATACAAATCATCTATAGCAACCTTAACATACTTCTTTTTCGACCGATTTTAGAGAGAAAACTAATTAGCCATTGTCAACAAGAGCTAAATCAAAAATGAGTTTTATGTCAACTTAAAGAAGAGATAATAGGCATGATGAAAGTATTGAACAGGTTATTAAAAGTCCTTTCTAGAATTAATTAATAAGAGATATTTGGGATAAGTCAATTGCAGAGGAGTTGTCCACTAATGCAACAACTCATAATGTAAATCAAGGCATAAGATATTTGAGATAAGAATAAGAAAAGCTGAGAGAAAACCTAGAGGTAATCAAATTAGTTCAAGAAGGCGATAATGGAATATCGTAAGTTCTTTAATTTTATAACTTAACCTATAGCTTAATGGAGGCATCAGAGTAAAACTAGTTCCTAAAGGATTCAAATTAGAGAAACTTCTTAGATAAGCAGGTGATTGATTAAATGAAGGAAGAAAATTTTAAGAACAGTGTATTCATAAGATATCTAAAAGGGACAACTGGCGGAAACAATAGATTGAATTTGGTATGGAAGCCTAATAAGTTTACATTCACCAAAATAGGTCCTAAGATAGATGAAACACTCTATCAGCAAGAAAAATGATAGGCGTGTCTAATGAAAACCTATTTATCCATCGATCTATTAATATTCATTTGATTTCATCAATTAGTTAGAATAATTTGATTATTTGGGGTTTTGGGGTTTTGGGGTTTTGGGGTTTTGGGG